GGGGTTAGACAATGGTCCAGTTTCATTCTCCTACATGTAGCTGTCCAGTTTTGCCAGCACCATCTGTTGAAGAGACTGTCATTTTGCCATTGTATGTCCATGGATCCTTTATCAAATATTAATTGACCATATATGTTTGGGTTAATGTCTGGAGTCTCTAATCTGTTCCACTGGTCTGTGGCTCTGTTCTTTTGCCAGTACCAAATTGTCTTGATTACTATGGCTTTGTAGTAGAGCTTGAAGTTGGGGAGTGAGATCCCCCCTACTTTATTCTTCTTTCTCAGGATAAGAGTTTTTCAAATTTATACAGATGTTTAATAATATTTCTAATTATACTGAAGGTGGTCTGTCCTCTGATAGAGCCAAACAGGGCTGAGGCTGGTCCTCAGGCTCCTGCACAGGAGACTCCTAGGTGGACTTTCTGCAGCTGCCTGTGGGGAATGTGCATGTCCAAAGCCTGCAGGTGGGGGTATCCTCCACACTTAACCTCAGTCCAAAAGTGCATTTGGGTGGAAAGAGGACACATTCAGGGGGAGCATGGAAACTACCCTGCTTCAACTTCTCCTTCAGAAGCCTCTACCTCTCTGTACTTGAAGGGAGGTAGGAAAAGTGCTTCCTCTGGTTTATTTCATTCTTCCTCAAAAGCTAGGAAGCTGATCTGATCAAGGAAGCAGCGTGGCCTTTCCCCAGCAACCCTTTCATACTCCCACCTTCCATTTATTTCACTGCCCTGCTACCCTCCCTCACTACTGTCCTCCCCAACCCCTCAGGACTGACTCTGGAGATTGATTTACATAGTAATCCTGATCTAGACCTTTCCTCCCAGTTAGATATAATTGTCCAAGAGATACCTAGGAATGATGATTTTTGAAAATTATGTTAGCAGTAGTATTGATTTAAATATAATAAGTCAATTATACCTCATTAAAAAATAAATGAATAAAAATAGTGAGAAATAAAGAAAACATTTACTTGGTCATTTTACAATATTATGTTGATTCAGTTTGATGTAGTTGGCATGCTTATAAAAACAACAGCAAAACATTCCAGACTATATCTCTTATTGGGTAATTGATTGATGCTGAGCATAGGCTTCCTCAGCGTCAGGACGCTGGTCTGCTGGCCCTAGGGCAGCACCTGGGTACATAAACCTAGCAGCCTTAAGTCTCAAAGGCACACAAATGCTATCACTAGTCTATTCTCAGAGGCAGAACACTTCTGGCTTCTGGTAAGGGTTCGTCCATAGAAAAACAAACATGGGATAGTGTTTTTTTTCCATAAATAAAATCTAATTTTTCTATATGAAGTTTTTTAGGAGTAAATGCAAAAAAAAATTGCCATGACTCTGACAACTGGTTCTCCCATAGGCACAGGAACTGCAAATGGCAGGGAACAAAAAAGGAATAGGGCAAAGAGGAGGGGGTTTCCTTTCCCATTCAGAATGGGGAACTGTTAACCCTCTAGGACTCAGGGTGAACCAAGAACCTTGTAATATGCACATTCTAAAAACTCAACCTTGTCTGTATACATTACTTGTATCTGAACATCTCCTTTTTCTGCCAAAAATTTATAGTATTGGTATATGTCCCAATCCAAAATCTCACTGTTAGAATTCATATTTTCAGGTCTTCCAGTTAGTCTCACTTTTTCCACTGGAAAAACTTCACTTTTTTCCAATTTGTCAGCAACTGTGAATAGAAAACAAGCCAAAGAATAGCCAAAATTCATAAGGTTGCAAGAGATAACAGTCAACTTAAAGAAAACACTGTTGTGCCTATTGTCCTTAAGTTGTGCAGAGACCTGGTGTACTAGCAGAAAGGAAATGTCTTTCAGAGATAGAAATTTGCGTATTTTTGTTTATTTAGTTCTGAGAAAAGTGAAAGAAACTAGCCATGCTTTGCAAACCATACAAATATTGTATCAACATATATCAGACCTTACTTAAGATCTTGGCCAAATAGGCTCAAGGAAAGATGACAGATTTTAGGAGCAGGCAACTGACCCCTTTTACTACAGTCTTTTTCCAAGACTGAAACTACAGTATGAGAATAATAGCAGCTCTTTAATTACTTTCTATGGGTAATCTGAAATTAAAGATAACTATGTTTTAATAAACCTAACAAAGTATGCAGTTTGAAATATATATATATATAGTAATTTCAGTTTCATTAAGCATTTGAAATGATCTTGTTATATATAGTATCTTAAATTCAAAAGTAATATTTTTCCTTTTTTTTCTCAGATGCAAATAATGCCAAAGATGTGTATTTAGATGTTATTCTGATTATAGAAATTAACCAAATGGACTTCATCTTATTCATTCTTAGGAAACTTTTATTTAAAACTATTAAGTATTCTGGTTCAGTGGTGTTACAAGATGGAATGTTAAAGACAACTTTGAAAATGATTCTAAGTACATATATTAATCTTATTGTCTATTTCTTTGTAGACAAGGTATAGGGTAATAGAATAATGATTACTTGAATTGTTCTCAAGTGCAGTGACAGAGATTGCCAATTATATACCTTACATCCACTTCTTCAGAAATTTTTAACAAGATACCCCATATTCTACAAATTAGAATTAGGGAAACTGCTCAATATTTATTGGTGCTACATTCAAATTTTCAGTTGAAGGAAAGAACATCACAATAACGAGTAAAACAGAATTGTTTGGGGACATGTACTAATGTAAATAAAAGGTGAACCCGTTCACTGAAAAATTTTTGAAAAGTTACTATTGAAAAGTAACCAATCAGAAAACTATGTTGTATGAAAAGAAGTGTATTAAAACATCTTAAAAGCTTAGTCTTTTAATACATTCATAAATATGTCAACTGACATTGGTTTGTTTTCCTAATTGCTTGGCAAGTCTGTCATCTTTAAAAAATTATGTAGATTACTCACTATTATCTGCCACTTTCTTGTAATGATTTAAGGCAACTTCACAATTCTGTAGAACATTGATTCCTGACAAATATCTGTATCCCTAAAATACAAGCGTATAGTCTTAATATTCTGACAATGTTGTATTTATAACACAACCATTTGGGCCCCAATATGTTTAATTTACAAACCAAAATCATCTGGGCCATCATGCTTCCTCTAGCACTTCCAAAGGTGTAATATATCAGTGCCTAGAGTAGGAAAATATATTACTTTGGTCATTCAAATATGAAACTCAAACTGATTATCAGTTTTTTGATCCTAACCCAGCAATGAACTTTGATGAAATAAATAATTAGTCCCAAAATAAATGACAAATTTTATTCTCTTCCTCTATAAGCTGACTGACATTTTGGTGGGGGGCTTTGTGAGCTCTGGAGTCTGTGAAAAGAGCATTTTACATGATATTTCATCTAATTCTTACAAAATACCTATGGAGTAGACATTATCTATCTTTAGTGAACAACGTGAAATATGGGATATTAAGAAATGTATTGTATTTCAACCCTAAGCTTCTTTATTGACCTAGTGCTTTTATCCACCACACTTTAGTGAGCTCCTTTACCTAAAGAGCAGGATCTTTACTTAATAATGTCCCTCTTAAAAAATACAGTTTTCTTCCAGAAAAAAAAAATGACCTTACCTTGGCTTGATCATATTCCATTCCTATTCCATAAGAAGACAAAAATCCTAATGCCTAAAGGCCAAAAGAGAACCAAAAAAAAAAAAAACAAAAACCACACACCTCAATAAATCCATTTATTTCACAATTATTCTTATCTACATTGGTAAGGGATATCTTGAAAGTGTGCTTCATAATAATTTATATTGTCAGTTTATTTCTTATACCATAACAAAGTGCCTTTTTACACTTTTGCTAAGGCTGCAAGAATCTGGAAAAGGTCATACTGGGGGGAGATTCATACAATGTGAAATAAGCTAATCCTGAACTTTAGTATAAATTATAAAATAAAACATAAACCAATGTTGTTTATGTGCTTCCTTTTCTTGACAATGAAAAAATTGTACCCCTTCAATATTTTTGAATTTGAATATTTTTCTTCATATTTTAAAAATAAAATGTGATGGATATAAAAAATTCAAACAGGAAGAACTATGTTGAATAAAAAGTGAAAATATGATCACAGAGCAGCATCATGGAATGGGAGGACAGAGACCATGTTTCCCAACAGACTCTGGCTTAGCAACAACATGTAGTCCAAAAAAATCTCTATGAGCACTTCAGAAATCAGTTAAGAAATAATAGTAACCCAGACAAACAAAGCAAAGAACAATTCACTGCAACAGGTAAGAAAAGCTTTTCATTTAATCTGCATTCTCTCTCCCTCAAGCGAGCACAGTTTAGTGTACTCAGGAGAAAAAGCACAAAAATCAGGCTTCTCCCTTGGGAAGGAAAGGGAAGAATGGAACATAGGTCTGATGTTCCAGATTTTGTGGGAACTGCCTTAGGGACTAGGTTTCTGCCTTGCCTGACTCAGTGCATTGATGGGGCACCAGCATCCTCTGGGGTCCTAGGGCAATGCTGGGAAAAAGAAGAGCTCACCCACTTACTGCAGCTCCAGAGAATTTGCAGTATACCATAGACAGAGCCAGCACAACTTGGTGCAATCAGGAGAAAGCAACCTGCTCATGACCTATCTCTTCAGAGAGAAAGAGAAGAGTGCAATGGGACCCAGTGTTCTGGCTTTTGTGGGGGCTGCTCAAAGGACTAGTTTCTATCTTGTCTGCCTTGGAGCACTGATGGAACTGGCATGCTTTAGATGCTTGGAGGCCACTAAGAACAAAAGAGAACATGGCAGCCTGTTGCCACACCAGAAAACCTACAGTACCAAGACAGACAGCAGGGGGAGCAAAATATTAGTTTTCTGAAAAAGACCAGCAAACCTTTTTAATTGGGAAATTATAAACATAAGCCCTGAGAAGACACATCTCCAGAAGAGATTTATGAGGACCTTAGAATTCTCAGTCATGCTGATTGATGAAGGTCTTCCCCTATACAAATTCTGTCTATAAAGGTGGAAAGGTGGTTATATTACCAAACGCATAAAGTGCTGCCAAAAACAGCAAGGCACACAAAGAAACAGGGAAATATGGCCCAATCAATGGATGAAAATATAGCTCAAAGAAAGAAAATGACCTTAAGAAATGAAGATCTTTAAATTACCAGACTTCAAAATAATCATTTAAAATGCAACATGTTATAAGAGAACACATAAAAACAACTAAACGAAATAAGGAAAATGTTATGTGAGCAAAATAAGAATATCAACAAAGAGATAGAAACTAAAAAAGAGCATTTCAAACTTTCTTAAACTGAAGAATATAATAACAATTGAAAAAAACCGAAGAAACAATCAGTGAATCTGGATATAGATGATCTGAAATTATCAAGTCAGAGGAACAAGAAGAAAAAAGAATGAAGATGGGTGAAGAAAGCCTAAGGGTCTTACTAGACACAAGAAGTGGAGCAATATACACATTATGGAGTCACAGAAGAAGACAAGTAAGAGAAACAAGGGCAGAGAGCTTATTTTAATAAATAATGGCTGAAAACTTACCAAATATGAAGAAGAAAATATACATCTAAATTCAAAAAAACTCAAGAACCCAAAGAGACCCACTCTAAAACACATTATAATCAAACTATGAAAAGTCAAAAACAAAGAATCTTGAAAGCAGCAAGAGAAAAGAGAGTAATCACATGCAAGGAAGCTCTCATGAGATTATGAACAAATATCCCAGCAGAAACATTATAGGCCAGAGAGAGTGGGTGATATAGTCAAAATGCTGAAAGAAAAATCTCTCAATCAAGAATACTGTATCTGGAAAAACTGACCTTCAAAATTGAAGGAGAAATAAAGACCTTCCCAGATAACAAAGCCTTTAAGAGAGTTCATCACCACTAGACTGCCTTACAAGAACTGCTAAAGAAAGACCTTCAGATTGAAAGAAAAGGATGTTAGAAAGCAATACAAAAATATAAAGCTCTTTGCTAAAGATAAATATATAGACAAATACAGAATCCTGTAATATTGTAATGGTGGTGTATAAATCATTTTAATCCTGGTATTTAACTTAAAAGCTAAAAACTTATAAGACAACTGTAACCAAAAAACTACATTAATAGATACAAAATATAAAAAGGTGTAATTTGTGCCACTGATGACATAAAGTTGGGGGGGAGGAATATATGTGATTGAAGTTAAGTTGTTATCAGTTTAAAATAGATTGTTATAATTATAAGATGTTTTATGTAATCCCCATGGTAACTATAAGACGTCCTACAGAAACTGCACATAAGAAAATGAGAAGAGAATCAAAATATGCTGCTACAAAGTAAATAATTGAAAGATGATCAAAAGAGGAAAAGAGGGACAAGGTAACTACGAGAGAGAAAACAATCAACAAAATGGTTATTTGCTTGTTCATACCCTTTGCCCATTACTTTATCTTTATTTATTTTTATTTCTCTCACTGAATGTGTAGAGCTTCTTATAAACTTTATATATTAGTCATTTACTTGTTACATATTTTGGCAAATACTTCCTCCTACTCTGCCACTTGCCTTTTATCACTGATTACACTGTTTCTTTATATGCATCTTTTTTTTTTGTATCATTAATCTACAGTTACATGAGCAACATTATGGTTACTAGACTCCTCCCATCATCAAGTCCCCACCACATACCCCATTACAGTCACTGTCTATCAGTGTAGTAAAATTCTATAGAGTCACTACTTGTCTTCTCTGTGTTGTACAGCCCTCCCGGTCCCTCCCCCACATTATGTGTGCTAATTGTAATGCCCCTTTGTCCCCCTTATCCCTCCCTTCCCATCCACCCTCCCCAGTCCCTTTCCCTTTGGTAACTGTTAGTCCATTGTTGGGTTCTGAGTCTGCTGCTGTTTTGTTCCTTCAGTTTTTGCTTTGTTCTTATACTGGACAGATGAGTTAAATCATTTTTTACTTGTCTTTTTCCACTTGGCTTATTTCACTGAGCATAATACCCTCTAGCTCCATCCATGTTGTTGCAAATGGTAGGATTTGTTTTCTTCTTATGGCTGAATAATATTCCATTGTATATACATATCACATCTTCTTTATTCATTCATCTACTGATAGACACTTGGGTTGCTCCCATTTCTTGGCTATTATAAATAGTGCTGAGATAAACATAGGAGTGCATATGTCTTTTTGAAACTGGGCTGTTGCATTCTTAGGGTAAATTCCTAGGAGTGGAATTCCAGGGTCCAATGGTATTTCTATTTTGAGTTTTTTGAGGAACCTCTATACTGCTTTCCACAATGGTTGAACTAATTTACATTACCACGAACAGTGTATGAGGGTTCCCCTTTCTCCATATCCTTGCCAACATTTGTTGTTGTTTGTCTTTTGGATGGTGGCCTTCCTTTGTGGTGTGAGGTGATATCTTGTTGTGGTTTAAATTTGCATTTCTCTGATAATTAGTGATGTGGAGCATCTTTTCATTTGTCTGTTGGCCATCTGAATTTCTTTGGAGAAGTGTCTGTTCAGATCCTCTGCCCATTTTTTTTTTGTTTGCTATTTTTTGTTTGTTATTTGCTTTTTGTTTGTTGAGGTGGGTGAGCTCTTTATATATTTTGGATGTCAACCCTTTATCGGATATGTCATTTATGAGTATATACTCTCATACTGTAGGATGCCTTTTTGTTCTATTGATGGTATCCTTTGCTGTACAGAAGCTTTTCAGCTTAATATAGTCCCACTTGTCCATTTTTGCTTTTGTTTCCCTTGTCTGGGGAGATAATTCATGAAGAAGTTGCTCATGTTTATGTCCAAGAGATTTTTGCCTATGTTTTTTCTAAGAGTTTTATGGTTTCATGACTTACTTTCATGTCTTTCATCCATTTTGAATTTAATTTTATGTATGGGGTAATATTCATCTTTTAAAGTTTTTATAGTAAGATTTGTCAAGTTCTCCTTCCAGAACAAAACAAATGCCAATAATAAATTCTCAGAGTGACTTTTCTGGAATATACACATGTCATCTGATTATATATGTTACACCAATTAAACTGAGTATGATATGTCTTCATATTGGTGTCTCAGATTATGTGTTTACTAAGTTGCTGTTGTATGTTAGGATGAAAAGAGTGCTTACTTGCACATTAGATGCCATGATAAGCATTTGAAGCTTGACTAGTCATTGGAGGGAGAAAACAGAATGGACAAAAATGACATACTATATCAAAAAGGAAATTAAATGGCCAAAATTCAGAACACTGACAACACCAAACACTGCTGAGGATGGGGAGCAACAGAAACTCTCATTCACATGCTGGTGAGAATGCAAAATGGTTTCGTAACTTTGGAAGATAGTTTGGCAGTTCTTATAAAATTAAACATACTCTCACCATATGATCCATTGGTTGCACTCCTTGGTATTTACCCAAATGTGGTAAAAACTATGTCCATACAAAAACCTTCACATGGATGTTTATAGCAGCTTTATTCACAATTGCCAAAACTTGGAAGCAAAGAATATGTCCTTTAGTAGCTGAATGGATAAGTAAACTGGTATATCTAGACAATGGAATATTATTCAGTGCTGAAAGAAATGAGCTACTGACCAGGAAAAGACATGGAGGAAACTTAAATGCATATTACTAGGTGAAGTACTTCTAATCAAGGAAATTTTT